AAGTTATTACGTTCCGCTCGGCGGGTCCCGCTGCTGGAGTAAAGATCGTGATAACCCGATTGTTGCGCTTTTACGTAACCGGACCCCCGGCTACTACACACTGAGGAAAGCTCTCCGAGCTCGCTTCTCGGTTTCACAAGAAAATTCTGCTAGATACATGTCGCATCCGACCTGAGCTCAAAGAGGATGCACTCCTGTACCCGCAATGCAAACGATTACTGTGGTGCTTGCCCTCGAACAGCAGTTCAAAGCCAAAGCTTGAGTTCAGCTCATTGTACTTCAACCTACCTGGCTATTGCCGAGAAACGCGGGGTGTATAACGACGCGGAGCGTCATGATTCCTCTGATCATAAGCGTCCACGACATCTGGGCAGTCGTGCCAAAATGGCATCTCAAACTTCCACGAGTTCTTTGAGTCGGGGTATTCTCGCCAGTTTACAAGATATTGGGTTTAAACCTGGCGATGACGTCGACCCACAAGACGTTCCACGTGGTAATGGACACCACTGTTCTCGTCGATAAGATGTGGTAGCGGACGATGACGACTTGGTCGATCACTGTTGGATGACTCGTGATACTCCTTAAGCTCTTGGAGATAAGGTCCGTCGCCATCGTGACATCACTGTGCAAAATACCTCAAGAGCTTGTTGCACTTTGTGCACCGACTGCCTCACGTTGAGAGCTATCGAGCCCTGTCGAAGCGGCTCCTAGCTGTCGAGCAGACGAATGCGTCAGTTTGTGCGACGATGGAGCGCCTTGCGCCGTTGGATATGGATATCGTTGCACTCCATGCTCAAAACCAGTTACTGGTTCAGCTTCTGGGTGGCCGAGCGCTTCTGGGCGCCGTCCCTGCGCTAGCGCTCCCGCGTTCACATGAGCCGGATCCCGATCCGGCTTAAGCAAGCCCACATAAATCACCGGGTGAGCGTGCACCCGTTTCGGAAGGTTTCTTGCTTACGAAAGGCCAGGCTTGGCCATGATCATAAAGGGTCAGATAAACCGTGGACGGAGCTTCGTCTTACAGACAGCAGAAACGGTATGTGTAGGAAGGCTTTTGGTATTTAATATCACCAGGTTTCCGTCCTAAACGTTTTTAAAATTTCTTCTGATTCTTGTATCTGCACATTCTATCTGCATGTCTTGGCTTTCGGTCATCGTATCGCAAACGTATTGTAAAATACTTAGTATGGAAGACAGGAAGTCATCGACTTCTCTTCGAACAGCGACAGTGCTGACATCAGTTAGCCTTTTCCACTAAGCCTTGAGACATGTGATGGCGTCGTCAGTTAAACGCGAGGATGATTGTAGCCGTACGACGCATGCACAGCATTGTTCGGAGGGAACAATTCAAGCGGCAGCTTAGCGCTCCAGCGCCTCGGCATTTTAGCGCAGACGCTGCCGCAGACGTCTGCAAACGACGCGATTCACGCGCTCAATTTGACCGTCGTTCTGCGGATGGTCTGATGTTGACATGGTAAACTTGGTGCCCAGCATTCTGAAGTTTGTAGCCCACAACATCCCAGTGAAGCGTTGGTTGTCTATCCGAGACGATTGACTCCTGGAGTCCATGATGCCAAAAAAAACGATCGACAAACAGCGTCGCTGTATACACATGTTCGGCACAGCCACAAAACGAGCCGTCTTGCTCAAATGGTCCACAAAGACCACCACACATGTGTTGCCCGCCGAGTCTTTTAGCAGGCCAACTTCAGAGTCCATACTCAAAGACTGCCAGTACCCGAAGGGTATCGGAAAACTGGCCTGCAGAGCCACCGCATTCGGAGAGGGTTTCATGTTTGACACGTCTCACACGTGCGTATATTGTGGTCGTCCATTTGTATAGCTTGGGCCACCAATAGTGGCGACTCACAGAGCTGTAGCCTCCTCACGACAATATAACCACTGAGTGGGGTGTTTTGAGCCTCATAATGGATACGAAATTTCAAATTCTCATCGCGAGGAGCCACATTTCGTGGCGTATTCGTTAAATTGGTGTTAGAATACAGCAACCAATCATTCAACGAATATCGGTGTCACCGTGCGCGCAATCGAACTGACAATTCATCGTCAAAGTTTTAAACACCTTGCTCCCGAGAGCCTATTGCAGCGCTAAACACATACCATCATTCGTGTATGCGGCGAATCAAATCCGTCACTGATGATGTCACCGTCGTGACATGAGTAAGATCATAATCCAATCTGTATGGCAACGCATCAGCCAAAGCATTCTTATCCCCTGACCTGTACATCACCTCGAACTTTTATTCTTTGAAGAAGCATAGCATCTTGGTCATCTTCTGCGAGAGGTGAGGCGACTGAGTCTCAATGCGTAGTGACGCATGATCTGTGTAGATCACTTACGGCTTTGAGCCGAGCAGGTGCACCTTGAACTTGACAGGTGTATACTCCATCGCAAGTAAATTCCAAGTCGTGGACTGGGTAGACTGGGTAGTTCCTCTCCGCAGACTTAAGCAGGCGATATTCGATCGCGATCACACAATCTCACCCCTCCGCTGCTGCTTGCAGCAGTGCATAGCTGATGACAAAGTCCGAAGTGTCACAGACGACACGAGAAGAACGATCAAGGTTAGGCAACGCCAGAATTGGTACCTGAGCGAGGCTATTGTTGACCCCGTAAAAATCTTCCGATGCACGGTGTCCCAACACCATTCCGTATTTTTCTTAAAGAGATTCGACAGTGGCCGTGCCAAAGTCACTCTTTCCAATTAAGAACCCTTGAAAGAGATTTTCTTCAGCATCGAGATTTCACTTATTGGCATGAGCATACAGCTTATTCATGCGCATGCTTCAATTGGACGATGTGGTTCTCCTCATCTGTCCTCCCGTGTCCCGCACGACTATGGACAAGGATGTCGTCAAAGTATGTTTGTGCATACGTCCGGTGGGCCTGATCGATTGCTCCACAAGACGATTAAATGTTGCTGGTACATTTGACAGCCCTTGGGGCATCACCAGCACTCCCAGAGCATGCCGCTCGAAGTACTAGTCGCTGTCAGCGAAATATCACTCTCCCATAAGAGCCATTGGTGATACCGATC